CGTGTACTGTCTAATGACATATATCTGTATACTGACACATCTATGCATACTACATGTGTGTACTGTCTAATGACATATATCTGTATACTGACACATCTATGCATACTACATGTGTGTACTGTCTAATGACATATATCTGTATACCACCATATCTATGCATACTACATGTGTGTACTGTCTAATGACATATATCTGTATACTGACACATCTATGCATACTACATGTGTGCACTGTCTAATGACATATATCTGCTTTAATCACTAGGTACATGAGCAAACCATCTGCCTTAATGGAAAAATGTTTTTCAAAAGGAGAATATCCTTGTAAGTGTAAAATAAGCCACAACACTGTTGAAATTAAGCTGGTAGTTTTCCAGAAAACCAAAAATTACCAAAATATTTGTTTGACAGAGGTCCATTCACGTTACCTACATGCCAAGTGTCAAAGCATTTGAGCTAGTAGTTTTCAAGAAGTAGTCTGAATATGGTGGAAAGGCGAAGGACAGCAATGGATGATCCCCCATATGAACAGCTCCACTTTGTCATCTTTGAGTGGCACATTTTTTTTGATTGATTGCATATGGATTTCACGACCAATACCAAATTTGACTTCAAAAGCCTGGCTTCAAACTTTTGTAGAATATATCAGCCTATACTCTAGAATCCTTATCTTATTTTCTTTTATTGTTGACAGCTGCTTTGTTGAAATATTTTGAGTACACTGTTGAGTTAGATTACACAGAGCGACCAGATTACAATTATTTGAGGAAACTCTTGAAATCAGGTATCAAGAAGGCTGGGTTCACAGATGATGGCAAAATTAATTTCAAGGTAAAAAACATGAGACAAAAATGATCCCAAAACACACAATACTGCCTTGTGAGATATTATTGCATTTTATAAATCACCACTATCAGAATTACACGATAATGGAAAACTATTTGCAAAAAACCCTAAAATTTAACTAATTCTAATTTAACTAATGGTGGTGATTTATAACAACAATAATGAATGTTCCACAGCATCATATTGGATGCAATAATGTGTGCATTTTCGCCTCGCTCTTTTCTTTTCATAGACCCTTCTCATCCAATATGATGCTGTTTAAATAACAGGGATGTGCACAATAATGAGGGAGATGTAGTCAAGGCCATAATTTACAGGAGGTGCAAACAAGATTAGCATGAGTAACTTGCAATATTCTAATAACCTCTAGACAATTGAAGTGATCGCAAATAAGATAGTTTACATAATTTGTATATATATATATATATATATATATATATATATATTGTCACAACAATGTTGCAACATGAAAACAGAACGCTTAGCCATAGTATGTACCTAGACAAAAATTCATTAGTCCAAAATCAACTTGCACCAGGGGAAAATGTAGCAAATCATTTTCGTAACATTAGATCATTTTGTAGCGCCAATAAGAGTCACTCGCTATATATTGCAATATTCATAGGGATTTTCATTGGAAGTTTGTTAACTCCCCATATGAATCTTGTTTGTGCCCGCTGTAAGTGAACGTATCCATTCCCTATTAACGCGTAATGACAGTGTTGTTTATTTTAATACCTTGGACTGTCAGGGAAAAATATGTGCAGCGGAAACTAAGAAAGAAAGATGCTTGTATTCAGTTATGCATAGAATATTCCCGATTGAACATCATGAAAGCATGCTCATAGTTGATTCACCTAAGGATGGCGAGTTTGTTAACATAAATTCGTCCAAATTTTGGGAGACATTGGATATTTCTGAGTAGCATACACAATTCATGCATTGATCTGGAGCACTGACCAGTTATTGTATAATAACATAGTTGAATGTAGTATTAATGGGCAGTATACGGTATTCATATTAAGTAAACATTTTTTTTCACCTCATTTGATACTGGGTAGCTTAGTCTGTTAAATTTCAACTTTGATGATTGGCAATATGACAGAACCCCACACCCTGCCCGTGGCTTTCGTTGCGTATGGAAGTTATTTTCACGAGTGATGCAGTGTATCCTGCGGCCGTACTTTCACGAGCAGGGTGTGGGGTTCTGTTATTATTACATATGTTCCATATTTGATTATTTCATATTAAAGAAAGGTCGGGGAACCCCATTGCCCATCAATATGTTCCAATATAGTGTTACGCCCTAGCAGCGCGTGTAAGTGTAGAACGCGCCTGGAGAACGAGTGTCACTGTTTGTTTGAAATTAAAATAATCAGACGTCTAATCTGAGTCACTGTCCGAAAAAATAACTTGTTGACGTTTAGTTGGGACCACGACAGAACCAGAACTTGAACTGGACGACTAAGATACACAGTTTATGTTGAAGTTAAAAGTTCCGCCACAGAATTGTGCATTGGCAAACATGCCGTTCAAAAGCGGTACTTCACTGACGGGATGACTTTCGTCGACAGCGGTCGTTGCTGAGCTGCACACTACAACTTCGTGTGTGATGTTGCTTGCTGGTCGTGGATTGACTGAGTCTTGGTTACCGGTTAAAATGTTGCTCTTTTGGCGTTGGTAA